ATTGATCAACCCTGGGTCGTTCAAATCCTGTATAATCGAAAACGCTATTAATCTTAATCTTGGAAGGATCCCATCTTTTAACTTTAGTCCCTAATGTCCTAAGGCCGGGCCAATGAGGTAAGTCTGACGTCCGACGCAGCACGAAACCGCGCGAAATAATGGTTTTCGATCCGTGTATATTTAAAAAATTGTTCCTGATCGTATTCAATATTCAGCATATCTTTCATTAAAGAAAAGAAATGACCAGTTTCGTGTCTTTTTCGATTCAGTGGCCGAACAGCGTATCTCCGTGGTTTTCTTTTATTTTTTTTTAAATTTCTTAATAATACACATGCTGCATAGGCACTTGATAACAAAAGTGCCATTCCAAACATTAAAGTTTTTTGCCGCTTCATCATGACGATTCATTTTAATATTCACTATAATTTGCAGCACCGGGATCTATTACAATTTGTGGTTAGGTTAGGTTAGGTTTTGTTACATTTGCACATGCGTAGTCTGAATTTCCAGGGAAGCATAAACGAGTCCTTAAGATTAAGTTAAGACTAAGACTAAGGCCGGTATTCATAGTCCGTTCTTATATTTAAGATTGTCTTAAGCACGGACTTATATTCGCTCTCTTCGTCACACATAGATTGTGTCTGACGAAGAGAGCGAATATAAGTTCGTGCTTAAGACGATCTTGAATATAAGAACGGACTATGAATACCGCCCTAAGATTAAGATTAAGACCGAAGCATAAACCAGCCATAAAGGTAGAAGCTTGAGAAACACGTTATAATTTTTAAAAACCCAAGAAATTTGATATATTATGCTATATTATTAATTCCTGTAAACATATTACACATCTTGTACATAATTTTATGTACAGTAAGAACACATGCTTCTTAAATTAGCATTTAAACAATAAGCTTAAATAATAAGATCACCGTAAATAAAAAGTGCACAAAGCAATTTATAGTTCTAAACAACGTTTATGAAATGTGCCAATATTCTTTGTTGAAGGAACTAAGAAACACTAATACATTAAGTCTACCTGCCGTAAGTCGACTACGACGTTCT